CAGGGGACCCCACTTGTCACTGGCCGCCATCCCGACGATTCCCCACTAATGGTTACCTTCTGCTTTCGGTCAGTGAATCCACGAGACAGTGCTTTGGTGTATCCCAAAACTCCTCAGTTTCTCCACCAGGATCTCCATCATGGGGCACTTTGTCAAAGGCCTTGCTGAAATCCAGGTAAACCATGATCCACTGCATCCCCTCTGTCTAGCCACCTCGAAACCTTGTCGTAGAATTCCACAAGGTTTGTCTGGCAGGACCTGTTTTTGCGGAAGCCGTGTTGTGTGGCTGTAAGCCTCCCTTCCCTGTCTAGCATCGCTAGATCTCTCTCTATTATGAGCCTTTCCATTGTTTTTCCTAAAATGGACGTAAGGCTAACCAGTCTATAATTCCCCATGTCCCTTCTACTACCCTTTTTGAAAATTGGGACCACTGATGCCACCCTCCAGTCCTCTGGAACCTCACCCATTCTCCATGAGGCCTCAAAAATGGAGGAACTTAGGTGTAACTCATTAGGGTCTGATGCCTTTTTAATGTCCAGTGCCGAGGAGCTCCTCAAATTCTGGGGGGGTGACTAATCTGTGCCCCTAAATCCCTGGCCTTATCTACTCTCCTATGTGGATCTCCCCTTTCCTGCTTTGGGGAGAACACAGGGGCAAAATAGACATTTAGCTTCTGTATCTGTTCCCTCACATCACTGAATCCCCTTCTTATTAAGTGGTCCCACTGCCTGTCTCCCCTTCCTCTTGCTATTTACCTGTTGATAGAAGCCCTCATAATCAGCCTTAGCCTTGCGAAGAATCCTCCTGCAACGGGCCTCCTCCTCCCGGTATACCCTTTTGTCTATTTCCCCCAGTCCCCATTTCCTACGGAGGTTCCTCTTTCATCTAATCCCTCTAACCACCTCCTTTCGCATCCATAGTGGTGCTCTCCTCCACCTCCCCACCTTACTAGCTAAAGGAGCGCTTGCGTCCATATATGCCCTCCCGCCCCCTGAGATCGGCGGGGGAGGCCCTTCTCCGGGAGCCCTCTGTGAAGGATATTGGGAGGGTGAGGACCCAGAGGAGGGCCTTCTCTGCGGTGGCGCCCCACCTGTGGAATGCGCTCCCCAGAGAGGTCCGCCTGGCGCTGTCGTTATTTGTTTTTCGGCACCAGACCAAGACCTTTTTATTTAAAAGTTATTTTAATTGCTAATCTGTGTTTTATTTAATAGTTTTATATTATCGCCGAGAACTCCAAATTTTTAATATTGTTCTATGCTTTATTTGTTTTCCTTGTGACCCACCCCGAGGCTTCGGCGATGGGTGCGGCATAGAAATGTTAAAAATAAATAATCAAAATAAATAGAGGTATCGTCAAGGCTTGCGCCTCCAAAACCTCCCTTTTGAGTGCCATCCACCCCTGCTCAACTCGCTTACCTTCCAGTAACCTATCCCAGGAGACTTTCCCCAGTCTGGCCTTCCGTTAGCCAAAGTTGGCCCTCTTGAAGTCCCAGCTTCTAGTGCTCAACCTGCTGCATATCCCCAGTCCCCTGATCTCAAAGCAAAGGATGGCGTGATCACTCGCATCCAGAGCTCCCCTAATCTGTACTTCACCTATCAGCTCCTCCCTGTTGGTCAAGACCAAGCCAAGAATATTCCCCCCCCCCCCACCTTGTTGCCTCCCAGACGCTCTAAATGAAAAACCCTCCCTCTAAAGCACGGGTCCTCAAACTAAAGCCCACGGGACGGATCTGGCCGCCATGCACATTTATCCAGCCTGCTCCACCGCCTGGCTGCGTAGGCTGGGGGCTGGTGGCTTGCTCACTTGGAGATGGTTTTGGACTCGCTGGGAGATCTCCGAGTGAGCACCCCCGCCTCACTGGCCCACGCGGGTCACCGCCGCCTCTCAACTGGCCCCCCATTGAAAACGTTTGAGGACCCCTGCTCTATAGCATCTAGGAAGCAACGTGACCTGGCCGCCACCGCCGAGCGAGTCCCACAATGGCTATCTGGGAGACTGAAATCTGCCCACACGGTTTCCCCTGCCCAAAAGCGGAGCCTGGAGAAGCGTTCTGTGCAGCCCAGGAGCTCCCTCCCAGCACCTTAACCAGATGGGTGAACCAGACATGCCTCGAATCGAACAGTCGCCCGTGGCAGGCCTATACTACCCTGCTGCCCAAGTCTTGGGCTCCCCGGGATGCGGGCCCTGCCTGGCCTGGAGGAGCTCTAGCTGCCTCGTCTGATTTAACTGAACTGTGGCTTTGTGATCTCTTCCTGGCCCCGCTGGGGGGCCTTCACAAGAGGGAGACCCCCTCTTGGCCCAACCGCCGGGCAAGGGCAAGCATGTGGCGCCACTCGCTTCCTCGCCCAGACTCATCAGTCCGGCTAACACCCCCTGCCCTCACAAAGGGGGCCGTGGGCAAGCTCATGCACGGCTGGCCGGCCGACTCAGGCCAGGTACGCCCTGTTGTCTTGGCACCCCCAGAGGCAGAGCCCCCCAGTTTGGGGGCCCGGACCGGCCAGAGGGGCCCTCTTCCCCACAGCGCCTTCCTTCTGGCCCCCCGCCGCTCCATCTCGTTGCATTCGGACGCCCTGGCACGCCCTGCCGCCTGCACCAACAGCCTCGTGCTGGGACTGCCGCGCGGAGGCTCTGCTGGCCCCGTCCGCTCCGGCCGACGGGAGCCGCCTCGCAGGGGCCCCACACGCGTGGCCCAGCGACCCGCTGCCAAGGCGGAGGAACGCTCGCTAGCGGGCTTGTTGCAGCAATAAAGGCTTGTTGCAGTCGTGGAGGCCCCCTCGGTGCGGGTGTGCAAGGAGAGGCTGGACGTGCACGTGGTGGGCGTGTCGTGAGCAGAGCCGGCTGGAGCCGGGGTCAGACTAGAAGGCCTGGGAGGCCCCTTCTGGCTTGCTCGGTTTCTCTGTTCACTTCCTTGGGAGAGCAACCACCTTTTGCCCCTGGCCGGGGGAGAACGTGCAGCCTTGGTCAAGGACCGGAGAGCAGTAGAGGGACACCCCGTTTTTGGAGGCATGGCAACTGCTCCTCTGCACATGAAGCCCCGCATCCCATCCAGACTCCTCCGTCCTTCGACGTCCCCCAGTAACAAAGAGTCCTGTGGCGCCCCAAGGCTAGCAAGTTTATGCTGGCACGAGCTTCCGGGGGCAGGATCCCACCTCCTCAGCAACGCCATCCTGACTCACGCTGGCGTGGGCCAAGCGCAGCACGGCTCCCGTTGAACTCTTAGAACGGGCAGGGAACCCGCTCCATGGACGTCCCACGGCTGCTTTGATCTTGCCACACGTGGACACAAAGCGTGCGGCTTTTTCGCTTGATTTTTTCACCACCATTAGGATAGCGGGAGACTTGGCCAAACGGACGCAAGCGCTTTCACTCTGCTATGGGCAAAATGAATCAGGTGCTGCCCAAAGTAACTCGAAATCAGCAAAGTACGCGCATGATTTCCAGGGGAAGGGAGGGTGCGAGAGCGATCCAGGACGAGGAATCGGACTGAGCCGGCTGGGATGAGGGTCGTTGTAGACCACGCACTGGGAGAGCACCTGCTTGCGAGAAGCTGCCCCAGGGAGCAGGTGAGGATACGCAGATGCCCCCACCTGACCGCCAGCCAGCTTCTTCACCGGTGGCTGCAGAGAATCCGGACAAATCCAGCCCCCCCGCAATCCAAGTGCGAATCTCCTTTTTCTCCGCGCTGCCATTTCCCCCACCACCTGCCATGACGAGCGGAAGGAACACAAACCTCCGAAGAGAATCCCATGGACGGGCCCCATTTCCGAAGGCCACGTTGGAAGCATCCCGTGGGCTCGCGAGGGACGACAGCCACACAAAGCGCTCGATTGGCCACTCAATTTATTCCTGCCCAGCCCCCCTGCATCTCCCCCATGCCCCCCCCCCCCCCCCCCAGCAGCGAGGAAGGGGCGCGCGAAGACCACGCTGCAGCCCGGACGCTTGTCCCGGCGCAACACGTGCCAGTCCAGGCTGCCCGCTCTGGCCCCGCTGCGCCTGGGCTGCCCCGGGAAAGGGGGCACCCCAGCTGGGCCCGCGTCCACCGCTGCAAGGCGAGAGCGGTCGCCCTGCCTCCCGGCGAGCAGGCAAGCGGAGTGGCCACGGGGCAGCGGCCCCTTCCCCGAGACCCCTCGGCCTCCCGCCACCGCCCTGCAGACAAAGTGGGCAGCCGGCCACGGGCGAAGGCCGGGGGGGGACCGAGGGGGCCGGCCCGGAGACCCAGAGACACGTGCCCCCTCTCCCTGAGGGGCAGTTCCAGCCGGGGGGGGGCACAGGGAAGAAGCCAGGAGGGCGGGTGGCAGACCCAGCCTCCCCCCACCCTCAGACGCGCCTGGCGGTGTGCTGGCTTTGGCTGTGGAGGATGGGGGTTGTTGTGGCAAGCGCATCACGAGGGCTACGGGGAAGGCTGGATTATGGGCAGCAGCGAGGCTGTGGGACGGGCTCCACCACGGCGAGTCTGGCGGCCGATCTGGCCGTGGCCCCCGAATGGGCACGCCCTGGCTGCCCCCTTGGGAAGTCGGCCGGGGGGGCAGGTCAGCGCCCAGAAGGGTGCTGCTTCCATCGCGGTCGGGTTGCTGGGCCGCGATCCCCACCGGCCCTCGTGGCTGGCCGGCCCTTTGCGGGCTCGTGGGAGCCGCAGCCAGCAGCCCCCCCTGCTCAGCCCAGACGGCCACCCGGAGCCCTCGTGGCCCTGGGACGCTGGCAGCAATGGCGGGCGCAAGGCTGGCCGCCCCCAGGCGCAGCTGGGGGGCTGCGGCGAGCACAGGAGGGTCCCCGCTGCCCAGCACGGCCGGCGGCACGCGGTGCGCTCTTCCCTGCGGCTGGGACAGACGCGCCGGAGCGCCACGCCGGCTTCCCTTGACCGCGAGCGGAGCGGCACCCGGAATGTGGGGCGCAGCCCCCCACCGCGCGCACAGAGCGGATCTCAGTGCGCAGGGCTGGCCCACCGCGGCCGGTCTGTCCGGCAGGAGTCCGCGGTCCTGGTGCAGTTGGGGCCCCGCCGCCGTCAGCTGTCCCCGTTGATGGTGGCCGCGTCGGGGGCCAGGAGGCGCTCTGCGTCGGGCCCCGTGCCCGCGGCCCCGTCCGGCGCCTGGCGGCAGGGCAGGCGTGCGAGGAGCAGCCGGTGCAGCCCGTTGTACAGGGCAGCGCCCACGAGGAGGATGAGGAAGCCGAGGATCTGCAGGGCGTGGAAGACCTCCCAGCCAACGGCGAGGCTGACCGCCCAGACGACCACGGTGCGCAGGCTGTCCAGCACCATCCGGGTGGTGGCGCTGATCTCCTTGGTGACGCTGATGCCCGCGAAGTTGAAGAAGGCGATGCTGCTGATGTTGCCCAGCAGAGCCACGGCGATGAGCGGCAGGTGCCCGACCTGGCAGAAGGCGTCCAGCGCGTCCTCCAGGGCCCGCCGGGGGTTGCCGCTGAAGCTGCCCCCGGGGATGTAGTACATGGGGACCAGGAGCACAGAGAGGACAACGAAGCCGAAGAACCCTGTGCGGGGGGGGGGGGGGGGGGGGACACGGTGCTCAGGGGGGCCAAGCAGCCGAGCCGCCCGGGGCTCTCCTCTCCGGCGGCACCGAATGCCACCGCTGCCGAACTCTGCCCCGGGCAACGAGCCCTCCCCTGCTCTGCCCCGACCCCCACCCGCTGGCTGCAAGGGGCGCCCCCGTGGTCCCCACTGCGCGGCCTCCCACTCCGCTTCACCACCCTTTTGCACAGGCAGAAGGGTCCCCGGCCTCGCTTCAGAAAGCCGCCTCCGCAGCCGCTCGGGTGCCGGGCTGGGTGCCACCGAGGGACAGGGAGGAGCCGCCGGGTCCTCCGGACTTCGGTGCGCAGGAGCCCTTGCCCGCATGGGCCCCGGAGGCCTGCTTCCTGCCCTGGAGGGCCGAGCGGACGGCCTGCCCGTCCTCTTGCCGCTCACCTTCCGTGCCCACAGCTTGCAGCGGGTGGACGTCGTGCTTGTAGACAAACTTCTCCTCCAGCACCATCTGGATGGCGACGATCACCTGGGCCATGATGATGAGCAGGTCTCCTGCGGGGGGAAGAGCGCATGAGCCGCCCGGCCGCCCGCCCCCTCGGCCAGGCCCTGCCGCCTGCCGGGAAAGGGGGCGCCCGCCGGAGCCTGCCGTGCTGGGATCTGCCGGCCGGCCGGGTGGGGGGCACTTCCTTTCCTTTCCTTCCCTCCCCTCCCCGACATCTCAGCCTCGTCTTGCGGTCGCTTGTCATGTGGGGGCCGGATGCTGCAGTGGGTAAGAGTACTGGGCTCGGGACTGGTCCCCACTCATCCAGGAAGGCCCTGGGCGACCTGGGCCAGCCACTGCTGCTCCGGCTAGCCTACCTCACAGGCTTGTTGCAATGAGGATAAAGCAATTCCCTACTCGATTTCCTGTACCGCCCAACGGCTGACGCTCTCTGGGCAGCTCCCAGCACCACATTAAAAGGCAGTTTAAAATGCAGACGACTGTATAAAACCCCATTAAAAGGCTCTCGTACAAAACCGAAACCACAGCAGAGTCACAATCACTTAAATCTTAGGACCTGTTTAAGCAACTAACAAGGTCTGGGCAAAGTGATTCAGTGCTTTGTGGGAGGACCGTCTGGACCTGGTACGGCTGGTGCCAGGCAGGCCTCGGGGGGACCCTGTGCCACACGTTGGGCACCCCACTGAAAGGCCCCCTTCCCTGACAAGGCGAGGAAACTTGGTAAGGCACTTGGGTTCCTTGCAAGAGCAAGAAAGGGGCACATGCGTAAAAACGAAATTCAGTGATTGCTGCTTTTCCTCTTTTAAGCTCCTTTGGCCGTACTTTGGCTAACCTGCCTAGGAAAGGCCGGCCGAACAGCTGCCGCAGCCGGAGGCGCTGGACTCTGTACTGGGGAGAAACTCTCTGGAGCTGCTGCCCACCCCCTTCCCCGGGAAGCCCCGATGCAGACGCCCGTGGGTGAGCCAAGGCCCCACAGATCCCCCGGGGTGCTCCGCTGGAGGGGCCGCCAACGTGCCCCATCAGCACGTGGTGAAGACGCGACCTGGGGACAACCGCCCCCGGAAACCGAAACCTGCCCGGCGCACGTGCTTCAAGCCCCCGCGTTTCGCATCCCTCTGCAGAGCAAGAGAACCCCGGAATGCGACTGCCTCCTGCTTCCTGAGCACCGTCCCACCGACTCACTGACTGGGCACATTTCTGGCCCACTCCGGATCTAATGTTCTCTGGCCAGATTATGACCAGTTGAGAAATGCAGGCCTTTTAACCCAAAGTCAAAAACACAGAATCATAGGATAGTAGAGTAGGAAGGTGCCCTGAAGGCCATCAAGTCCACCCCCTGCTGGTGCAGGATACCAGTTCACACCATCCCACTCAGAGGGCTGCCCAGTTTCTTTCCGAATGTCCCCGGTGTGGGAGGAAAGCTGTGGCAAATCTAGACAGCATACTAGAAAGCAGAGACATCACCCTGCCGGCAAAAGTGCGTATAGTCAAGGCTATGGTTTTCCCAGTTGCAATGTATGGCTGTGAAAGTCGGACCAAAAGGAAGGCTGAGCACCGAAGGATTGGGGCCTTTGGATTGTGGTGCTGGAGGAGACTCCTGCGAGTCCCTTGGACCGCAAGGCGATCCAACCGGTCAGTCCTAGAGGAGATCAGCCCTGACTGCTCTTTAGAAGGCCAGATGCTGAAGATGAAACTCAATACTTTGGCCACCTAGTGGGAAGGAAGGACTCCCTGGAGAAGAGCCTGATGCTGGGAACGATTGAGGGCAAAAGAAGGAGGGGACGGCAGAGGATGAGGTGGCTGGATGGGGTCACTGGGGCAGTTGGCGTGGGCTCAGGTGGACTCCGGGGGATGGTGGAGGACAGGAGGGCCTGGAGGAGTGTTGTCCATGGGGTTGCGATGGGCCAGACATGACTTCGCAACTAACAACAACAAAGTGTGGGAGAGCCCCCCACCCCTCCAGGCAGCTGGTCCCATGGTTGTGTTGCTCCGACAGTGAGGAAGCTTTTCCTGATGTCCAGCCTGAATCTGGGTTGTTGCAACTTGAAATGATTATTCCGTGTCCTGCACTCCGGCATCAGCAAGGAGAGATCCTGACCTTCCTCTTTGGGGCAGCCTTGGAGGGACTTCTAGAGGGATCTCATGTGCCCCCTCAGCCTTCCCTTCTCGAGGCTGAACATGCCCAGTTCCCTCAGTCTCTCCTCACAGGGCAGCGTTTCCAAACCCCGGATCATTTCTGTTGCCCTCCTCTGCACCCTTTCTAATCTACCTGCATATTCCTTAAATCTTGGTGCCCAGAACTGGACTCAGGACTCCAGGTGAGGTCTGACTAGTGAGGAGTATAGAGGAACTGCTACTTCTCATGGTTTGGAAGTAATGCTTCTGTCAATGCATCCCAAAATAGCGTTTGCCCTTTTGGAGGCTGCATCGCACTGTTGGCTTATGCTTAGCCTCTTGTCCACAATTCCTCCGAGGTCTTTTTCTTTTTCAGTTCTGCTGAGCCACGTATTCCCCATCTTGTATCAACGCAGACATAAAACATATTACAAATATTTCAAAGAATAAGATGCAACATGACAAACAAGAACCAGCACAAGGGATCTAAAATGCCTGGAAGAAAAGAACACTCTTTGCCTGGCATCAGAGAAACAGAGCCAGAAGGGGCCTCCTGGGCCATCTAGTCTGACCCCCGGTACCATCTGGCTCCGCTCATGACATGCCTGCCATCAAAAGGCGAAGCAACCCCAACAAGGGCCGGCGCCTGGTGAACCTCTCGGGAATCCTGAGCGGGGAGGCCTCTTCTGGCTCCTCGGGTGAGGGGACCTTGGACTGGAGCAGGGGGGAGGGGGGGGCGCCTGGTCCTGCGGACGGCCTGCCCTTCACCTCACGCACACGGCTCCCGCTTGCGCCCCGTACCTGTGATGACCTCGCTGAGCTTCCGCTGCTCGTTGTTGCTGCTCAGGTCAGCGAGCCCGACCACCACCAGCCCCGCGATGGTGATGGCGATGCCCAGCCACTGGCTCACGGCCAGCTTGCGCCCCAGGAAGGCCACCGAGAGCAGCCCCGTGAAGACGATCACCGCGCCCCGCAGCATCTGGAAGCTCGACGCGCTGGTCATGTTCAGAGCTGGAACAGAAAAGGCCGGGGGGCGGCCAGGAGGCCGAGCTCAGCCCGAGGGGTGTGGGGGGGGGGGCGCCTGGCCCAGGCCGGCAACGTGCGGCATGTGCCCCCGGAGGGAACCCCAAGATGGCCGCAGTCGCAGAGCGAGCGGATTTCTAGGCCTCCTGGCGGAGTGGGGAAAGCTCCAGCGTCAGGAAAGGATCGCTGGGAGAGACCTCGCAGCCCCGGAAAGCCCCCCCGCCCCCTCCGGCTTCGGGGGGCCGAGGCTCGTGTGGCACTTCCTAAGGCCGAACAGCGGCACAGCGTGGGGAATGCGGGCTTTTAGGGGTTCATGTGCCGCCTTTGTGGGCAGAAACCCCCCCGAGGATTTGCGAATGGGGCAGCATGCAAGTGCTCCAAACAAACAAACAAAGGCAGTCACTAAAAAGCACATGTTCAAAAGTAAAAGAACCAGAAATAGAATTAGCGGCTGCCATGGAAACGCGGCAGTGGCAGACGAGTGCCAGCCAGCCCGTTCAAGCAGCCCGGCGCCCCCCCCGGGACCCCGGGGCAGGGGGCGCGCTTCACGTCGGTCCCGGGCTCTGGGACAGGACGGGCGACGCGAGCCAAGCGCCCGGCAGGATGGCCAGACGGCTCGGTGCCCAACGGCTCTGCTCGCGAAAAGGAAGCCGGAGCGCCCGAGCGCCGCGCGTGGGGGGTGGCCCCGTCCACGCGGGGGGCTCCTCGTCCCCGGCAAGGCCCCCCCCCCCGCAGGCGGAGGCGGCCAGCACTCACCCACGTACATGAGGCTGGTCCCGGTCATGTCGCACAGCGCCGGAGGCAGGAAGAGCAGCGGGCTGAAGGCGCGGGGGGCGGCCATGGTGGGCTCCGGCCGGCGGCGGTCGCAGCAGAGGAGGAGGTGGAAGACGAGCAGGCAGGAGAACTCGCCGAGGAACATGCCCACGGCCTGGAAGGCAACCCAGGCGGGGCTCATCTCACGAGGCGCCCCATCGCCGCGCCCCGTGGTTTTTCTCCGCGAGGAGCCAAGCCGGCTTCCAGGCCCGCCTCCGGCTCGCCCCGTCCTCACAACCGCCCTGTGCGCTGGGGTGGGAACGTGGGCGCTGGCAGAGGGCAAGGGAGGCGGCCACCTCCCTCCTGGCCCGAGGGAAGCGGGACAAGCACCGGCCTGGATTGGCCCCGGGTCCTCAGCAGCCCGATCCACACACCTCCCTGGCCCCCCGAGCTCAGAATTCATGGCCACGCCAGTGCCGTTCTCCCAAAACACCCCAGGGCTGCCGGCAGAGGAGACGCAAAGGGAAATTTTCGGCACAAGTCTGCTGAGGGGACAGGAAGTTCTGTGCTCTTCAGACGTGCCCGTCTCCCCTCCTGCCCAGTCTATTCTTTCCTGCCGGTCAATGCTCAGAATCTAAGATGCTACGCTGCATCTGCAGAGCCAAAGAAAGCATCCGGAGCAGGTTTCCTGCTTCATTCAAGCTGGGTATCTGAAGCATTTTGCAAGTGAAGCGAACCTCATGCTACACCGCAAAACCCCCCAAAACGGGGAGTCGCCAGTGTCAACCTGAACAGCAGCGCCAGTCTGAGGGAATGGGGCTGCGGGGCATCCCGGGAAGATGCCTCCTGGCCTAGGTGGGGAAGGCGCTCGAGGTGGCCCAGGGGCAGACGAGGTTACCTGGAGGAACGGGTGCTGGAAGCTGTGCTTGGCGGAACCGTGGCACCCTGGAGCGCTCAGTTTGTCTGCCCACCTGAAAGGAAAGGGGGCGCCCGTCAGCGCAGCCACACCTTGGGGTCCTGCGGCACCCCCAGACCCACAAGGGCCGTGAGGCTCTACCCAGCGCAGAGCCCAGCGTCCTCAGCGCCTGGGCACACGCCGGGGTGGCTTCGCACTCCAGCGGCTGGCCTGGCTGCCAACCCGTCCCAGGAGTCCCTCCGCTTCTCTCCACTGAAGGCCGTTGATTAAATTGCTGGCTTTGTTTCTTTGATCCATTTCTATACAGCCAGTAGCCCAGGCAACCTTGACCAAGAACCAAGGTTAATTCGGAACCAAATGCAATTACAAAGGAGCCCCGGCCTCCAGCGCTTTCCAGGCTGCTCATTCTCTTTCGCTGTGGTGACGTGTTCTCGGCGCTTGCTGTACTCTTCCGTGGGTGAACGTCGTCATTGCTTTCTAAGCAAACATCTAATTTTTTCAAACCCCGGCCAGCATCCCTGAAGGTAGGCCAGTGCAGTTATTCTGTTTGTGCAGGGCCAGCAGTGGCTGAAACTTGGCGGCTTTCGTAAGTCCCCTAAAAGAATCAGGATTAGAACCCAGGACCTCCTGAAGTTCCTCTCTGCCCTTCCGTGGAGAAAGCTGGGAGGCCCGCAGCCTGCCCAGCAGCCGCTGCCTCGTGGCCCCTCTTGGAAACAGGAGGTCCTGAGCGGGACGTCCTCCGCCTGGACTTGCCTGCAGCCCGGCACAGACGGACCCAAGCCGAGCCTCTCCGCCCGCTTCCTGGAACCCGAGACCTTACTCTGACAGAAGGCACAGCATCTCCTACAGATCGGATGTCGCGAGATGCTCGTCCTGTTGCCAGAGCTGACATTTTGAGAGACAGGGTGCTACTCTGCGTAGCGAGACGGATGCCTAAAGCCTTTCCAGCTGCACTCGGCCATCCCGTCTTGGCTGGATGCTTCCAGCAAATCTCCCTGCACAAGGCAGAGAGAGAGAGGACGCTACCCGATACCTGGCGCGGTGGGGGGCCGACACCTGCTCGCTCTTCTGGAGCTACAGCCCTGCACAGGCCAGGAGCGGCAGGTACGGGGTGGGGGGGCGTGAATAGGATTTGGTAGGAAAAGAGATCTTCCTCGGAACCTGTGAAGGACCAGTCTGCAGTGGGACAAAACCCATAAATGGAGAGGAAATGACTTACCTGCCTTGTACCTGACAGATAAACAGTGTGACAGACTTTGAACTGAAAGGTGGGGAAGCAGCACCTGAAAAACGCTGCAGAGCTGCTCAGGGGCAAGATCGGGTGGGACCAAGAGAGGGCCCCCAGGCGAACTGGTCCGGGGCCGAGGGGCCTCCCAGACGGCCAGGCCTGCTGCGACCGGAGAGGCAAGGCGCTCGTCATGGGGGGGGTGCAGTGGGGCAGGCGCAGGGCCAGGAAAGGGGTGCGGTTGAGGACAAGGCGCAACGCAGGCGCACCCGGCGGAGGACGCCGCTCGAGGCCGGAAGGCTGGCACTACCCAGGCTCCTGGGGCAAATGCCGGCTGGGGGGAGGCAGAACAACCTGGGTGTGGAGCGGGGGGCTTGGCGCTCCTTTTTCATGAGACTCGTGCAAGCCCATTAATTGTCATGAGGTCAATTCAGGAGGAAGGAAAGAGCCACTCACCCAGGCGAAGCGGTTTAAAATACGTGCATAGAGCAGTTCACCTTTTAAATTTCTCTGCATCCCCCGTACAAAATTCCAGGACCCGGGAAAGAGGATGCCCCAGGTTCCAACCTGCTTTCCACACATGCAAGGGTTTTTTTGGGGGGGGGGGGATTGGGAGCTGCTGCAGGCTGAGCCAGGCCCTTGGTCCATCCGGGGCAGTACTGTTGCCCCTGAGGGGCAACCGCACGTCCTCTTGGTGGCTCCAGGCAGGGTCCCCCTCTGACTTCACCTGGAGAGGCTGCTGCAGATGAGGGCGGGGCCTGCGGGGACTTGTGGCTCCTCCCCATTGCACAAGGCTCCACCCACTGCCTGAGGTGGTACAGCCCAGACAGGCTGAGGACTACACCATGCCGTAGCAAGATCTGACCGGACTCTGCTTCCGGGAAGGCCCTCAAAAGCACTGCCCGCTCACACGGCTGCTCTGCCAGCTCAGCACAACGGCCTAAAGCCCTGAGTCACTGGAGTGGAGACAGCAGAATCTGGCCCACGAGCATCTCCCCGAAAAGCCCCTGACAGAGCAGTCTTCAGGATGCTGGCTGAGTCAGCCCCAGATCTTGCAAGAGGCAGCCTGCAGGACGCAAGGCCTCACTGAGGAAAGCGGCAGGCATCTGGCGTGCCGAAAGCATCTCAGAGCTCCACACCGGACCGCCAGCCGCCCCTTCAGCTGCCGGCTCCTCCATCTTGAGCCCCTCTGCAGCAAGCAAACGCCACTCGGAAACGCAAACCGAGCGCCAGCCGGACAGTGAAGGGCCACGGAAACCAGCCAGGAGCCCTCATGGCCACCAGGCTGACCTGGCAGGGAAGAGTCCAGAGCCGGCGCCAACTTCCTCCAGGGGCCTCCAAAGGAAGGATGGAACGTGCCCCCCACCCCAGGCTGACGGGAGCGCCAGCGGCTTCTGGAGGGCCACATATTCTCCACCCGGGTGGAGACCAGAAATGTGGGAGCAGCCAAAGGGCGGCCGATGCGTGAGGGCTCTCCCGCCGGCTCCGTCCGATAGCGAAGGGCATCGCTGGCCAGGGAAGGCTGGGAACCGTGGGGTTTCGCCCCACCTGTGCTTGCCCAGGGCTGCACCCTAACCAGTCCTTACTTGACTTGTCAGGGATGGTACAAACGCCCCGTTAAAATGGCACACATTCAGGCAGCAGGGCCCGACGGGCACCTGAGCAGGCGTTTAGTCCGAGTGTTGACCGAGTGTTGGCAGGCGCCTCTCCTGGGTGTTTTAAACTATTTGAACCATTCGATACTTGAATCGTTGGATTTTTAAAATAATGTTCACTTAAGCGTTCTTTTGCCCTTGCCGTTTGATTTTATTCTTGTAAACCCCTCCAAGGGCATTTGTACCATACAAAACCCGAACAAGCTGCGAAATAAAATGGAGTTTTGGGGCACAGCCACGGTGCCAAGAGAAAGCGGGGCGTGAGGTGGGAAAGTGGCAGCACCCTGGGCCTCTGGCGATGTCTGACCAAGCTCCAGAACAGCAGGTGTGATGCAACGGCTGAGCAGACAGAGATCAGCCAGAGATCGGGATGGTCAAGGGTTGCCTTGGTCTTAAGACCGGGGCGGAGAGCAGACGCTACCCTTTTCCCATATTTAATCAGAAGCGGAGGCGCAAGGGAGGGACAGAAGGGGGGAGAGACAGCGGCTTACCCTTCCTAGGCCGAATATCCCCCAAATATCCAGGGGTCCATGTCCCCGCCATCCCACCCCACTGCTCACCGCTGAGGGGGAAGGGCAGAGACCGCCAGCGCCCCCTCTCCCCGCCCCCGGGCTCAAGGCCCCTACAGAGCCACGCAAAAGCCCCCTCCCCGCCCAGGCGCGCACTCCCTGCCTCTAGCCAAGGGGGCTCCGGCCCTCCAGAGCAGGGGGCCCAAAGACCCCCTGGCCGTGGAGGGAGCACAGCGGGAGGCGCCTGGCGGGGCCACCGGCGCCGGGAGGACCGAGGCGGGCCATTCGCTCCAGCGGGACGGGGGCGGCTGCGCGCAGCACCCCGGAGGCGGGGGGGGCTCCCCGCTTGACGGCGCCCCCCTCCCCGCGGCTCGGAAGCGGCGCGCCGGGGTGATGGGCCAGGCCCGGTTCTGGCACAAGACGGGGCGCGGCCCCCAGACGCCTGCGGGCGCAGAAGGCTCGCGGGTTGCCCCGATGCGCCCCTGCCCAGGCCGGGCCGGGCCGGGCCGGGCCGACGCCGCGGAGCTCCGCCTGCGTCCCCGGGCGGCTCCCGAGCCGGCAGCGCCACGCGAAGGGCCCCTCGCTCGCGGCCGCCCCGCAGCGGCCTCCCGGGCGGGCCGGGGGCCACGC